GCATCACTATAATGTTAGTCAAAGACAAAATCACATCAATTTTAATAAAGATGTCAGTGCCGTGAAACAGACTCTGTATAGATAAAAATCGATCATTTTGACGTAGCGTTTGTTCCTTTACACTGAAACACTCTGAAAAACCTATGCTACAGACATATAGATAAAAGCATATACGCACGAAATAATTTTTTTTTCTTATTCATGGATAGTTACATGGTCTTTGCCCATATCAACACTAAAATACGAACTGGGCCTCCTAGTATCATTCTTAATTGCTTTTGTAATGTAAATTATACTTAATTAATGGCTGTGTAGTGTTTTATTACCCAAATTAGTACAGAATAGTGTAATAAATTTTGAATATCGTCAATATTCGAGATCGGTTATTGCATTTTATTAAGACACACTGACACATTTATTTCAACATGGGTTCTGGTTTTAACGTGGCCATTCACTATTATTGAGTTCTCTAGCATCTTATTCTATAGCCGCGAGAGTGGGCGGGGCAATTCTTAACCAGGTGCCAGGCGAAAATAAGCACCGTCGGGAGCTGGTTATTGCTATAATTTTCATTATAATTGACTTTACCATGCTGTAACGAGTGGAATTGTTCACAAAACGTATATTTAGGATGGGAGGGGCGGGTTGGCAGATGACAAAATAAGGTGCTAAATGTGGCAAAGAAGATTGCCCCTTCCCCGGGCGTCTCGATAGGGGCGCCACTAAAAAAAACATTGAACTCTCGCTCATCCACTGACCTTATATGTTCTTGAGGAGATTATCTAAAACAAAGTTTGTATTTGCTGTATCACGAGTCTAATGGTAGTTATTAATTGCATAAAAATTCAGCCTTGCATAAAAACACCACTTATATCCACCTTTAAAATTAAATGATCTTAAACTAACTAAAGTTGTATATAAATGCTAGTCATCAGGGCAATAATACAAACGATACGCTTTACCATGGTTTTATTTTCGAGGAGGACAGGAAATCGAAATATTTTGTTGTATCTGTGGTAAAATGGATGCTGGCCAGCAGTGACATCTTGCTTTCCGACTACAGTGTTTCGAAAATTGATAACGACGATTGCCTTAGTTCAAACAGTTTTTCCATATGGTCCTGTCGGATATTATATCTCAGATGTTGATTTATGGTCTGTTATTGATTAGGAAACCGCAGTATGTGAAATGCGGAAAAACTGCTGGGAAGTGACATAGCTTTCAACACAAACCTAAATTAAACTGCGCACAATATAACCAGAGTAATCATGCTTTATAGTGGCTATATAGACAATGACCTTTTTTGCATAAAAACACCAACTATCTTCAACCTGATTATCGCTCTCCCAGATGGTTTGCATTTCAAACCAATTATCTTAAGTATGATCCTCTTCCTCACACTTTGCTTGCATAAACACCAACAATCTTAAGCTTGATCCTTGCTATCAACTTTCACTTGCATAAACACCAACAACTATCATAAGCTAGATCCTTGCCATCAAATGTCGCTTGGATAAACATTAATAACTATCCTAAGCCAGATCCTTGCCATCAAATGTCGCTTGCATAAACACCAACAACAATCCTAAGCCTGATACTTGCCATCAAATGTCGCTTGGATAAACACCACCAACTATCCTAAGCCAGATCCTTGCCATCAAATATCGCTTGCATAAACACCAACAACTATCCTAAGCCTGATCCTTGCCATCAAATGTCGCTTGCATAAACACCAAAAACTATCCTAAGCCTGATACTTGCCATCAAATGTCGCTTGCATAAACACCACCAACTGTCTTAAACATGATCCTCTTCCTCATACTTTGCTTACATAAACACCATTGTATTAAGCCTAACCCTCACCCTTAACTTTCGCTTGCATACACGTCACCAAAACGTCTGAAGCCTGAACATTGCTCTCACCCTTGGCTTGCATAAACACCGAAAACTCTCTTAAGCATGATAATCGCGCTCACCCTTCAGTTGCAAATCACCAACAAATGCCTTAAAGCTGACTTTTCCCTAACCCTCCGCTTGTATACTCACTACCATCTGTCGTAAACCTAATCCTCTTTTGTTTGCAGAATTTTGTAATCCCTGCTAAGTATTATGTATTAAAATCACACGCTATATTCATGTTCTCTTTCTTATATACCTCATATTATGTAAACTTTGCAACTTGAGTGTAATTAAGTCTTGTCTTGTCTTGTCTTGCCTTGTCTTGTCTTGTCTTGTCTTGTCTTGTCTTGTCTTGTCTTGTCTTGTCTTGTCTTGTCTTGTCTTGAAGTTACATCCATATCTGACATTTCTATCACCGGGACAGGTTCAAGAGACGGAATCTGTGGTAAAACTATTGGTAAGTAAACTTCAGCTTAGGAATTCATGCACTAATTATTGATTCATTTCAAAATTGTATTGCAATATATAATACTTGATGAAAACTGTCGTCCCGAATTATGACTAAAAAGAACATGATTACAATTTCTGTGCATTAATTTAGAATGATCACAATATTTATTAAATAGTACTGCTGTCCTTTTATAATTATAGTATAATAAAACAATAACGAAGTCTGAGTTGTGTCAATGTACACGATCTGTCACAATTTAAACTTAGTCTTTTTATTTGTAAGTCTCTTGTTAACCTGTATTTGTGTAAATGCTAGGAAATACTACTTGTAACAATCTCTACTTTGTCACATCAGAATATCTTTGCCAGATATCAGAATATCACTTACAAACATTAGGATCTAATTTGCTGAAATCAGAATATAATTTCCAGATTTCATTATATCATAACCAGACATTAAAATGAACTTGCCAAATATCAGAATATCCTTTTTCAGTTTATAGAATGCTATTTCCCGATATCAAAATATCATTACCAGATATACAATAGCATTCTTAGATAGAATGACATTTCCTGACACCAGACTATAATATCCAAATATAAAATGACATTTCCAGATATCTCAATATCTTCTAAAAATATTAGAATGCCATTTCTATTCTTCAGAATATCCAATACAAATATTAGAAATGTCATTTTCAGACATATGAATATCATATCCAGATATTAAGATGCCATCTCTAGACATCATAATGTCATATCCAGATATCAGAATATCATTTCCAGACATCAAACTATCACATCCAGATATTAAGATGCCATTTCCAGACATCGAAATTTCATATTAAGATATTAGAAAACCATTTCCAGATATACAAATATCATATCCAGATACTGAAATTGCTTTTGCTGACATCAAAATATCATATCCAGTAATATAATGACATTTCCAGACATCAGAATAGTATATCCAGATTGAAGAATGACATTTCCAGAAATCATAATATTATATCCTGATGACCTTCCCAGAGGCCAAAATATCATATGAGGATATTAGAATGACATTTCTAGATATATAGAAAATGCACTAAAACATTCGAACATCAAATTTGTAATGATTCTTTGGCACAAAACAGTTCTTTTTTTTTTCAAGTTAGGAAACAAAATTACGGTTCTGATTAACGTTCATGCCAGATTTCTGTCATATTGGACACAAATCATTCTTAACAGTGGATGGTGTTCGTTATTAGAAATGGATTTGTTGTTATTGTTGTTGTTGGGCTTAACGCCATTTTTCAGCACACGATAGGCTATCAGTATTATTTCATGGCGGCCAGTATTAATGGTGGAGGAAGAAACCGGGAAATCACCGGAAAAAACCACCGACCCACAAGAAGCTACTGGCAAGCTTTCTCACATATCCACATTTGCCGAATCCTAGACTCGAACCCATTCAGACAGAGGTGAGATGGCAATGATCCGTAACGGACAGCGCTTTAGACCACTCGGGCACTCGGTCGTGTCTCCTGAAGTTGAAAAACCCGTCACTTATTCTTCAGTCATATAGAAGTCGAAATATGACATATTGGGCATACTCTGCACCAGGCAATCATGCCCTTCAAGAGTTACTGTCATGTTTCATGCTCAGGTTGTTGAGTCACACAAATTCATGCACTCTAGGAATAAAATCCTAGTTGCAAATTAACCAGAATTCGTGTTAATTTATGAAAAAATGTCAAAGAATCCCCAGCCCAACCGGGAAATTGTACATTGACCTTTCAACTCACCATTCATAATTAAGCGCGTTGTACCTTTCCGATACCGCTTTCCAAGTAATTTGTCAAGCAGATATCTAATACTGTTATACTATTAATGAGAAGAACTATCTTAAATTTTACCCAAAATTAATTTCATCAAGTTGATTTTTCTAAAAATTTGGTGCTTGCATGTACTGTGAGTAGTAAAACCTATGAAGCCTTTACGTGCACTATATCTTACGACAAAAAGTCCCTAATCCGCAAACATTGTATTGATTCAACTAATATGATATGGGATGCCATTAGCAGGTACGATTATTTTGCAACAGTCATATCAATAAGTAATAACAAACCTACCCAGCCCAGCATGTGTGGGAAGAAATTTCATACAAATAGTAATATTATCCCATAATTTGATTTGAAATATCAAACATAAGCAAAGTGTGTGTACTTTCAAAGACCTAAATAACAAAAACCTGAACCTGAACGTCATTGTTAGTGACATCGCCGCATCCGCTATCGTTGCCGAAAATTCATATTTATGCTTCATTGAGAGCAGATGAAGCAAAACGTACTACGTGCGCATTGTCTGATTGCAATATCATATCTTTATTCAGTCTGACAAATATATTACTGGTTTCATTTACTGTGTAATATTATTCCTTATTTTAGGTTCTAAATATGGTCGAATGGAAAACAAGTGGATAAATGTCTTTTGATGATTTAGTGTGACAGTTTATAGTCATGTCTAGCACTGAGGCATCATGCTGCAAACATGTAGCACGATGTCCCACCCAGTCATATTATCCTAACATCAGGTCGACCAGTCCTAACACTAACCTCTTAATGCTGAGCGCCAAACGAGGCAACTCTTAGTACCATTTTGTAAATCTTTGGTATAAGTCGGCCGGGAATCGAACCCACGACCTCTCGCATCCGAGGTGAATACTCTAACCACTAGGCCACCGGAGCGGTATCTACTATCTCATAAGTGTCAGGACAAAGTTGAAATGGTAAACTGAATTCCTGCTTTGAAATAAACTTTTCTTTATGATATCCATTGAAACTTTGCTGTTTTAAACACGACATTTTCTATGGTTTTACTTTTTTTTACAGTGGTCAGTATTTACCATCTCTTGTCAAAAGAAACAATTAGATTTATTTACATAACACGCTTTTGATGAAGCTCTTTTCAATACAGTCGACTCGTAGCTTTGTGGACTTAACACAAGCTTCGATGAATTTCTTGTTAACCGCATGTAGCAATATAGACATACTACATTCTTTGATGCAGCTCTTGTTAAACAGATGTAGCGTTGTAGACATGACACAAGCTTTCATCTGTTGTTAAACACACGTGGCATTGTAGACATACAAGCTTTGATGCAACTCTTGTTAATACACATTTAGCTTTGTGGATGTAGCACAAGTTTTTAACCATCTCTAGTAGCTGTAGTTGTACACGTGTAGCTTTGTGGACGTAACACAAGCTTTGATAATTACCTGTGTAGCGTTTTGGACATGACACGCTTTGATTACATTTCTTGTCAATACACGCGTGTCTTTATGGGCAGAAGGTGCTTTTAATGCATCGTTTGTTAATGCATGTGCATCTTTGAAGTTATAACACGCTTCAATACATCTCCTGTTAATACATACATAGATATAACACACTTTGATGTGACTCTTGGTAACAGACATGAAGCTTTGTGGAAATAATATGCTTAAATGCATCATTGAACACGGTCGTTTACGTTTGAAAGTTAAATATTAGAAAGATGAAGACAGATATAAGCCCCATGTCGAAATAGTGAAACCGACTCCATCATCTAACACATATCATGCACGTAATATTTTATACGTATGACTAAGAGAAAAGTTATCTTGATTAATTTGAATATTAACCGTTAAGAAGCAGATTTAGTTTATTTAAAAAATACTATTTTGTATATAACAATTTCATGATGGTTGCCTACATTATTATAGGTACATCAGACTAATAGACATCATAAGACAGATGACGAAACAACTGAAATAAGGAATGCTATATTCATCGGCTGGATGGTATGGCAAAAGCATTTTTTTTTCATACAAAAAAACCCTACATATTAAGGTAAGTTCAATAGAGTGTGGATTTTTTTTTAAAGAGTGCATTTTCTAAACTTATTAGTATACCAAACACAATTTTATAAGGAAAATTAAAATGCTGTCTACCATTCGAATCCTATACTGATAAGAGTTGTTATCTTATAACCAAACTCATGGAAAATATTGCTGGTTGGATGTGACGTTCTAGGTTTACTGAGCATCTATATCAGTTATGTGGTCAGTCACTAGGTAAGTCATTAGGTCATATCCTCTGACTCTTATGTTTCCGTTTTCAATCGACCAAGGCTCTATTCGGATTAAAGAAGCCATTTTATTTACACCTATTGTTTTTATTAGTTTAACATCGGTGAACGATCTGACTTGAAAAGAGGTTCAAATAAAGCATGGAATACACATTGCCAGCAAATCCGATATACAGATTACGTTTTGTTTTCTTCGCCTTGAGATCTAATATTAGATCAGGATTATGTTATTGCAATCAGTGTAAGACCTAAGGGTTACTTAATGCATTTCGCTGTGTAGTAAATGTGAGCTGAATTGACCTTGAACATCGTTTTCTAAGAGTGAAGCAGAACACTAACTGTTATTTTATAGTTGTTGCAGTTGAAGTACAAATTTAATAAAATGAGTTTGACCAAATCGCATAAAACAGTGGCCCTTTATTTTATATCATTGTTTTCAAGTATATGTAAATAAATAAATTTTGTAACACAAAGCCCCCACCCACCACCCACCCCGATTAAAAAGAAACAACAAAAACAGGATTGCTGAAACAATCAGGACTAAAGACAATTTAAATTCTCCTTTGATTTAACAGACATGCTTACCTTTAGCGGCCTTTTCCAATTTCACGCAAAAATTAAAAATGTGTTTTATTAAAGGTCGAATTAGTTAAATTTGCACAATAAAACTATATCCCACTTAATCTCCATACCCCATACATAGATGAAAATTAGGCCCGACTCTAGGACAAGGCAAACGAGGCAACCGCCTTGGACTCCACGCTTCTCTGCAATGCAATTGATTTTGCTTGGGGTTCCGCGCTCATCGCTTGCTGCCTTAGGCCCAGCATACTGCATTGCCCCCCACCCACCCATCCTTGGGCCGGGCATTATGAAAATTAATTAAACTGTCAGGTTTACATATGACAATGGAACTTTGGACCATTCTTAACAGTTATATAAGAAAACGGACGTAGTAATTTTTCTTGAAAAATTATAGTCATTATTTAAATGTTTCATTTTATGAATCAAATTCCGATATATCTAATTTTCTTTGACTTAAGTTTCTCTTTTAATGCACGGATGATTTTTGTTGTCTGAGGATTAAACAGATGTTAAAAGATTGCTCTAGTCTTCTCTGAGACCGACAATCAAAAATATGAAAATATACAAGTTGTTCAAATACTGGCATTGTCAGGACGTAAGGAGACTTACTTATACGGTGTATTTGTTTAGCATATCCGAGATGGAAAATTCCAAGTGCAGATTTTAAATATTTGATAACGGCTGACTTGCTGGTATGATTAAAATTCAAATAAACATATCAGTTTACTATTGTTTATCCAAAATAAGTCATTTAATCTCTGATCGTCCAATTTTTTTTTTACACTTTTAGATATGTGGTATATTTGTGATTGCTCAAACTTTCAGCCCAGTGAGTTAAAAGGATTTAGAGTAAATAAGTTTTAATTGTCATTTATTCCTCAAATTTTGAGTGCAAAATTTAACTTGTTTCATTGTAGTGGCGGTCTTAGGATAAAATTATTAACGTGTAGGACATGACGAACGTTGTTAGCAAGGAAGGATTCTAAATCAGATTATATTTAATGAATTGAAAGTCTATATATATATATATATATATATATATATATATATATATATATATATATATATATATATATATATATATATATATATATATATATATATATATATATATATATATTTATATATATAGTGGGTATGTGGGTCTCTACTGATTTGCTTATCTGCTACTATAAAATTATAAAGTTTGCTGCTGAAAATTTGCGTACATAACGTTATAGCATGATGGATTAATACATGACAGGCAAGTAAAAATGACCAGATGGCATTGTTTTTGTTTCTCTTTCAATATTGTGATTACTTACATAAGTCCTTTTCCAGCTGCAAACAACATAGACGTTGATCAGCTGTCGTATAGTGAGTCGACAGATCTGGATATATGCGGTTAGTAGATGTGTTTATCCTGGGTAATGTATATTATATTCATCGATGGAGATTAATATTTTCGTATTCTTGTTATCAATTTTGTTAGCGTTTATTGCGATCAGAAAGCTATTATATATGTTAGAATGGAAATGTAACTTTTTTAAAATAAAGAAATGAGATTAAATTCAAAACAAGTGTACGAATGCTCTGTAGCTGGTATTATATGAAAGATGTATAGTTTTCATCATGTAATTACCATTCCATTAAAACAGTGTACGGAGTTTTCATCTGTAATTATCTGTACAGTTTTCATTATCTGAAATTACCATCTATGAAAATAGGCCTGGCATGTCACCTGCAAATAAGAAAATGAAAAACTCTGGTTTTTATAGAAATCTAATGTAAAATAAAAGATTTTACATAAATTTATTTATTTACTCGTATGGTTTGGTGTAATCTGTATTATAAACATCCCAGTCTGTCTTTCTCTTCCTCAGCCAGTAGCTTCTCGTGGGTCGGTGGTTCTTTCCGGTGATTTCCCGGTTTCTTCCTCCACCATTAATACTGGACGCCATGAATAGCCTATCGTGTGCTGAAAAATGGCGTTAAGCCCAACAACAAACAACAACAACAACAACAATCTTCCTGAGCGATATATTTCTACAACATCTACGTTTATTAGAAAAATGGAATTTCCATCTACATTTGAATTTTTTTCAACAATTGGGTTATTTAAGTTTACTAGCTACCTATCACCTGAGAGCTGACTGAATTTGGGGCAGGGTACATCAGTCATATAAAAGTGACCACTGCTTGCATATCGATGTGGATCGGTCATACAAAAGTGACCACTGCTTGGAGATCGATCTAGATAGGCTTACCGTCCAGTTGGATTCCTAACGTTTCTAATCTCAGTGCTAATTTATATATTTCATGATACATTTATGTTACCAGAAAGCAACAGTATACGGCATATGGTGACTGACTAATTCAGCAAAAACGGGCAGACACTCAAACGACAGAGACTGCGTTTACTGGACAATTAAGATAACGATATCAATACGTCATACTCTTTTTCAAATAACTCAGTAGCCTGTTGACTAGGAGATTAGTCAATGATTATTCTACCACAATGCCCATATTCTAGTGCCAACTCCGTATCATCAAGAATATATTTTCTCATTAAAGATGTACCTACGCTGAGAATTTCTCAGTTCCTTCCTTAAGGCTCGTATACAGAGCAAAAGCATTAGAGATAAATATATCCAAAAATGTGTGCATCTTTAATTGTCAGATGTGATTTATCAAGGGAGATAAGTGGTATTTATATCAATGACTAACCGTTTTCCGGACCCTCCCAGCTGACATGCGTTTACTGCATGTTGGTCATGAGCCTTTTCTAGATCGATCCGTGTTTGACATCCGTATTCTATGACAAAAAGTACTTCCTCCGTCTAACGTGCAACGGTTGCGAAATGTTGTCATAGGCACCATTGTTGTTTGTGTTATTTGTCATTTGTCATCAGTAACATTATTGGAAGACAAAGTATTCAAGAGACGAAAAACTAAGTTCTGAGAACTTTTGGCTTCTTTTGCAAAATTCCAGCTATATATAGTCCATAACCCTTCTATTCCTTATTTTCTTTATTTCTTTCTTCTCTTCTTT